ACGAACAACGTCTATCTGGTGAAGGCCTGTGAAGTATCCTATTACCAGCAACATAGAGTAACAGGTCAGCATGGTGCAGGCAACGATGTTTATGGGGCGACGGCCCGCGAAACCTTATGTTGTCGATAACATGTTTCGATAAAATGCCTGTCATGTCTTGTGCCAGCTGCGTTTTGGGGTATGCTGTAGCCTCGATGTTCTGTTTCCTTCGGGTGCCGATCCCAGTACGGTGACAACAATGGATTTTTTGCCATTGAGATGGGCCATTTGTCATTGCCGCCCTCAAATGATAAGCGCAAATTGTCTATCGAATGGTATTGCTAGCCACATAGATCAATGGAAATTCCTGACCAAGAAAACCTACCGATAGACTTGCGAGCCGCAATAGATTGCACGCTCTGTCTGTCGATGGGTTCGGTCTTTTGCAATCGTGTGAAAAACCCGACGGAAAAAGACTCGTCATTGTAACAGACCTCTACGAAAATATTTAGCTGCAAACATGGTCGTCTATTGTCCAGGGTGTCTGGAGAGAAACTGTATGACCAAAATACATTTCATAGGCCTCCGAGAAGCATTCCAATGGAGCCAACTTGCCGGACAAGTGTGAGCTTAGGATGTGTTGGAGATCGACGTCGATGAAACGTGTCCATGGACTTTCAAGATTTTCATGAACATGGTGTCGTGGACGTCCATGGATTACCACGAAGTTCCATGGCATGTTCCGTGGATGCTCATACGTTCATGTAACGACAATCTCATTAGATACCTACCGGGCAGCCATTGCTTTCCCCGGAAAACTTTCGTCTGTTTCGGGTTGCAGCTGGTGCTTCTATGGAAGCGGTAAACAACTTCCACGGAAGTTGATCCCCTTCTATGGAAGCACCCGATATCAACTGCCCGTTGCTTCAATGAAAGTTGCATTTGGGACTTTCACCGAAGCGCGACGAGCTTCCACCGAAGTACCACTTTCATGGAAGCTCGTCGCTTTCCAGAAACTCTGCTACTTCGATCAAAGCACGAAAACTCTCATGAATGCAACTTCCATGGAAGTGGGTGACAGAGGTCGAACCAGACTTCGGCGGAAGGCAGCGTCTGGACGTGTGGTCATTCCAGCTTCCCTACCCTAACCCTAACCCTAAACCCAACGCAGCACCACGGAAGCGTCTGGACGTACAGTCATTCCATCTTCCCTATCCTAACCTCAACCCCGATAAGACGGTGGAAGCTGCCTTGAATCTGTTTTGAATAGATTCCATGGAGGACTAAGGTTCGAATTGCATAGGAACTATTCCGCTCCCATGGGGTTTTCATAGGACTTCTGTGGAAATTTATGGAAGCGGCACATCCATATTTTATATCTGTAGTTCCGAAGGGTGATTGCGCGCTTCCGTGTAGCTTCCATGGAGCTGGCATCAGCTTCCATAAAAGTAGATCCAACTTCCATGGAGTTTTTTTATTCTTCCATGCGGTCCACATTTGTCAAAAATTGTGGGAGATCGGGTATAACAGGGTTTTCGCCTGATTGAGAGCGGAGTATACGATTGAGAGCGGGAGCCAAAAAAAATGAAATTTCGGGTCCAGACGCCTCTTGCCATTTCTTGGGAAGTAGGGGGCGGGCTCTTCCAAGAAGCGGCGCAAATTGAAGGTCTCATCAGCAGCGTCACGAGCATATGCGTGTCATCGCGATCGGATGCTGCAGCTAGGAGCTAGACAAGTTGCTAGATTTCCCCAGATTGGCTATTCCTGCCTCAAACTGTTTCAGGGCGATTTGATCGCGGGCGGTGAGCTCTGCTGTAGATTCTGCTCCCCGCTGTAGCTCCACAACGAGAGACGCCCACAGGATGACCAGGGTATCGGCTTGTAGCTACGGGCTAGGCCTTCAATTCAAGTCACGCAGCAAGCGCCACCTCTCAGCGGTAGTCCAGCTACAGCGCATCGCGCAATCTCGCTCTCAATCAGAAACTTTGCTCTCAATCACACGAAAACCTTTTTGTATGAGGTATGAACCTGTGGAACATGTGCCTGGATGTCAACACAACGACCTTCGTATCATCGGTCACATCGTGCTATGTAGGAAATTGCTGTACAACTGCTGAGTAGTACTGCTGCTCAGACCATCTAGTAAGCATTTGTGTATGTTCTGACCGCCACTACTTTTGACAGACCTCCTCCAGTGTATACCTTGGTCACTGCCGGTTCCTCCGACGCGTTATGAGGTGGTTTCATGGAAGACGCATACGCGGCTGTGCCGTATCGTGCTGTGTAGTAGGCAATTGCTGTGCAACTGCTGCACAGTACTGCTGCTGCTAAGACCATATGCATTTGTATGTCGTGATGTATATCGTGATCGCAACTGTGCCCACGGTTCTCCCCCAGTTTGTCTGGACTGCCATTCTCTCCGACGCGTTATTATTTTTTCTTGTTTTTTTCTCCCATCATTGTACCCCCTCCTGCGGTTCCTGCCTGAGATATTTTTATCGCGAGAAGGGTACAGCAATCCCCTCCCTCGCGACTTATGTAGTCGATCAAGTTTTCTAACAACGAGCTTTGCAGCGCGTCGCTTCCAACGGAGACCAGTTATGGAGTAAGATCGCTCCTGTAATCATGGCATGGCGTCTCCATATTGTGGGCACGGTGCTCATGTATCCGACAAAGACTCAACCCAGTCACACAATAACAAGCTCATATCCGCTAAGACTCCACCAAGTTACACGACATATTCACGTAGTTCATCTCCTGTATGCACATGCATACCATCTTTGCTACATAGAATATCGTACACCGTGTGTTCTCGTCTGCATACGTCGTCTACGTCGGTCGTGAGGTGTCGTCGATCGATGGTGGAGTTCACAGTATCACACAAGGTGATGCTGAAACGTTCATTTGTGATCGATGGCAGGCGTGTGCATGTGGTTGTATTATTAGGATCGATCGCGATGGCCGGCTTACCAATAAGAGGCGTCAGTCTCAGACCGTTCAAAACACTTCTAAATGCCAATACCTAGGAGTGGCATGTGGAAACTAGCCTATTCCCCGGACCAAAGACAGAAACTTTAGCAACAAAAGAAAACTGCACACGTCTACTGTGCTACCTTGCACTCGAGTTCGTTTTGGGGTGCTTTCAACGTCATCCCCCTTCCTTCAAACTCGATCGTTCTAATGGTCGTCTTCACAGCAACAAAAAATGTGTGTATGTGTGTACCTGTCATAGCCTCCGGCGACACTGTCCGGAACGTTATGCGGCGACCGGAGAACGATCTTGACGTTCCGACGAAATTTCGAGTTGTTCCCGGCGGGTGGTGTGGTTGTGGTTTGCTGCATGTACCAATGAGGGCACGATCTTCACCCATCCTTGGTAGAAAGTCCCGCATGCTGAGTTCTTGTCGTTGTTGTTGTTGTTTCTCACATTAGCTCTAAAGTCCACAAAAAATGGGGAGCCCGTGGTCTCAAAACCCGGCACAAACGACGCCACAGGAAAACAATAATGACCGATAACTAACCAGTGACGGGAATACCCGTGTAGTTCATCACCGCTGTAGGGTACAGTTAGAAATCAACACGCTTGCACCCCCAGGCTGTCAGCTGATTGGCCGAAATACCATTGTGTCGATTTCTAGAGAAACCTTCATCAGGTACAACTTCCGCTGGAAGTAGGACCCTCTGGTGTGACCGATATTGGTTACTGTTCTACCCGGAAGAGGTCAATTTTGTACCTAGAAATGGAAATAAAATCCCGGCGCCCGACGCTCTAGCATAAAATCCCCAGAAAAAAACGCGTGCCGCACATAACGTGTACCACACATACATAACCACAACCAAAACACCGACAACGCTCGCTCGTTCATCGTTCATGGGCACCGCCTCCATAGGATACCGGCCCTTGTTAACAGAGGGTCGGACTCGCTTGAAGCGCAAGTATTTCGGCCTGGTACCGATCAGTACAAGCACACAGAGAGAGAGAGGAGAGGCACAGAGAAAGAGAATAACGGGCACGACCTCCCTCGTGCATCATGCTTCCGAAGCACAGGACACACAGGACACAGACAGCAGTTTATTGGTTTTGCCGCGATCTACGGCAGATGCTGTCGGAGATTGGTGTCGTCTTGATTTCCAAGTGTACCCTGAACTGGTGATGATCTATCCTGGTATACCCGTTTCTGGTTACTCCTCAAACAAAAATAGGGTACAAACCACTCGAAAACAGAAAACAAAAGGATAGAAAGAAAATAACGTGTAACCGCACCGACCGTTCGAAAAAAGAGCCCTAGGAAACCGATAAAAAAAAAACGAAAACAAAAGTGAAGGAGGACGTTTCCACACCCGCCTAGAGAAAAAATCGGAGGGTAACGTGCCAGCACTAGGCACTACGCACCAGGGCATATGAGTAACGGAGCAAACAGGACCAAGCGGCGGCAGATGGGCAGACACCCAGATGTACAGAAACCAAAGGAACAGCAACAGCGACATTAAGGTGCCCAACACAGCAGAGTAGGCAGAGAGGATATGAAAAAAAGAAACACAACACATAGATAGGTCGAAGGTAATACAAAGGACACACACATAGGATTATAACATACAGCAGGGAGGGAAACAGGGCGCAACAAAATTAGCCGGGTACATAGTAGCCCTGGTTGTCTAGTGGTAGCCTCGCAGCCTGCAAAGGGCCAGGTCATGGGTTCGAGTCCCGACAGAGTGAGTATTTTTCTCACAAAATAAATCCTGGTCTAAGACGAAAGCGACGCGCTGCAAAGCTCGTTGTTAGTAAACCATAATCGACTTCGTAAGTCGCGAGGGAGGGGATTGCTGTACCCTTCTCACAATAAAAATACCCCTGGGAGGAAAAGCAGGACGGGGTCCAGCCCCGCCGTCCTATGTGACCCCGGTTGGATCGTCTAGCTATTAGTAGAAGTGGAGGATAGGGGCCAGAGGAGCAAACGACAGAGTGAGTCCGATGATGGGAGAAAAAAAAAAAAATCGCCACAAGTGCTGCCTCGGCCGCCCTACTCGCTTTTATAGCAGTACCGGATCGCCATTTCTTCCCCCCCGCCGCCGCTGCCCCGACTCTCTTTCTCTTCGGTCCTGAGATGGCCGTACTCTCTGCTCTGGCTCCCCTCGCGCGCTGGCGATACGCGGACGCTTCCGCCTCCTGCCTGTGCCATTTCCTCATGAGCCATGCCGCCCCGTCCTCGACCTTGTTGTACCACACCTCCGGGTCCTTCGTGCTCTCTTTCCATTTACCCCCTTCCTTTTCGTCTCCCATTTTGAAGGCCACGAGGTCCTCTCCTAGACGCGGCACCCAGTCGCTCTCCTGCCCGCGCCGGTATCCCCCGCCCCCGCCATCGCTCCTGACAGCATGCGCATGGGGAGGCGGTTGTCGTCCATGTGCATGACAAAGCCCGCGAAACACCACCTCCGTTTGCGCACGGTGGTCTCGATGGTTTCCTCGCAGCCTGCCTGGATGAGGGCCTAGGCATAGGACAGGGGGCGGTCTGAGCGTTTCTGTTTGCTCCAGCCGATGCACCGTGTAAGAAATTGACGGTGGGTCCCATTGAGCTTCGTGTAGTGCTCCGCAGATAGGCTCCACGAGGCGCACCCATACAGGGGAGTCTCCACCACTTCGCCAGCCTGAAGTAGCCGGGTCTTGAGCTGGCGGTCGGCCCGGCGCCTGTCGTACATCGAAGCGCTGTTCCGGCGGTAGCACTTCCACGCTCGGCACCTGCGGCTCGTGACCTCCCGGTCGGCCTTCCCATACGCGGAGATTGTACGTCCGAGGCACACAAACCGATCTGTCTGCTTGTACGTCTGGCCGGCAGCGCGGACCGTGAACGGGCGTTCCTCGATCCCTCTCAGCAGCATGCAGATGATCTATGTCTTTGGCTCCGATATCATCGGTTCAAACAGGCCGGCAACGCGCACGATGCCCGACATCATCTTCTCGAGACTCTCCGGCGAGCGCGAGACGATGGCCGCGTCGTCAGCGTAGAGCATGTGTGACCATGACATCACGGCAAAGAACAAGTTAAGGAGCAGCGGGGCCAGGTGGCATCCCTGCCGGAAGCCTTGGCCCACGTCGAACCATTCCGACTGCCCTTCGTCCGTTCGGACGCGCGCCTTCATGCCCTCGTGGAAGTGGCGAGTGACCGCCAGCATTTACAGGGGCACGCCTAGGCGTCTGAGCATGTCCCACAGTAGGTCTCGGCCCACCGAATCGTACGCCTTGGTGAGGTCGACGAAGCACGCGATCACCGCAGTATTCCTCAACCTCGCGAGCTCATTGGGCCGCTGGATGGCGAACAGCATGTCGAGCGTCGACCGCTGTGGACGGAACCACTCTGCTCCTCCGGGAGGATGCCCTCGCTCGCAGTAGTGGCTCAGTTGTGTAGCGACAACCTTAAGCAGGACCTTGCCGGCGTGTTCGACGAGAGAGATGCCCCGGTACTGGCTGCACTCCATCGTGTCCCCCTTCTTGAACAGCACTTCGATAGTGGCATCCTTCCACTGCTATGTTACGTCCCCCGTCAGCCTTCGTCTACGACGATGGCTTGCAACTCGCGGAGGACACCTTGATTTCTGTTCAGGAAGAGCTTGATCAGCTCAGCCGGTAGGTCGTCCGGCCCGACGGCCTTTCCGTTGGCCATTTCCCGTACCGCTTCCTCAACATCGAGTAGAGAGGTGATGTCGTCGAGTGGCACGCAAGTTGGCCACCGCTTGACCATGTCAGCCGCATGCAGGTCGATGGTGGGCCACTTGGTGTTGAGAAGCTTGAGGAACCACCGTGTCCACCGTTGGCGAGTAAACGTGGGGTCCCGAAGGACCTTGCCGTCCTCGTCCTTGCTGTTTTGAGAGATGAACGCCCTTTTACCTTCGACGTCGATCATTTTCAGGTGCCTGTAGAAACCCGCCTGATCTCCTTCGCGGCTCTTCTTCTCGAGCGGCCGTACATAGAACCTCGAAGAAAGTTTCCCGTGCTCTTCACCTCGCGCNGTTGGCGAGTAAACGTGGGGTCCCGAAGGACCTTGCCGTCCTCGTCCTTGCTGTTTTGAGAGATGAACGCCCTTTTACCTTCGACGTCGATCATTTTCAGGTGCCTGTAGAAACCCGCCTGATCTCCTTCGCGGCTCTTCTTCTCGAGCGGCCGTACATAGAACCTCGAAGAAAGTTTCCCGTGCTCTTCACCTCGCGCTGCTGCGCTTCTTCCGCGCCGCCTTGAGCATCACCTTCAGGGTCGCCTCGAAGGCGCTGTTGTTTGAGGCCCCACGCAGTTGCTGCTGGGCCACCTTGATCTCCTTCGACGCTTCGGAGATCTCGTGCTGCGGTTCGCTCGTGTACCAGCCTCTCTGCCCTCGAGCGCACCTCGCCAGCGGCGCGGTCTCAGCAGCGGCCGTCATCACCGTAGCCGTCAGCTCGGAGGCGGTCTTCCCCGTTGGTCGCCCGAGGGCCGCGGGCGGAGGGCGGCTGGAGGCCCTGTCTTGGCAGGCGACCCGTAGGTGTTTGTCCTTTCTTGACCGCTCGAGGTCGATACGGATCCGGCTGCTTCCCCTGTTCCCCCACACTTGTCGATAGGGTGCGATACAGGGGGGGAGGGGTACAGCTCGTACGCACGAGGTTGTGGTCAGAGTCTTTGAAGTCGACGTGTTTGACGTCGGCATTACGCACGAGCCACCGGTCCGTCTGACGCATGAGGATCAAGTCGAGGCGGTACTTCTCATTCCCCTTGTTGGAGCTCTAAAAAGTGTGCTGCACTCCACCTTTCGATGTCCGGAAGTAGGAGTGGATCAGGGAAAGTTTGTTGTCTGATGCCAGTCCAAGGAGCCGTTCACCGTTGTTATTCATAATGTCGCGTCCGTACGCGCCCATAATCTTGGCATCGCAGCACCCGTCTCGCCTCCCACCAGTGCGTGCGTTGGCGTCTATTAGCACCACGAGATGGTCACCGCTGTGAACCTCCCGAATCGCTGCGTCGAGAGCAGTCCAGCAGGAAACGTCACCGCCCGTGGTGTGGACAATTTCCGTAGGGGGTACCCCACCTCGAAAGCTACTCCGCAGGTGCGGCCAATTTGTAGACGAACCTTCATCAGTCTCGGGCTAATGCACGCCACCGACCTACCTTCCTCGCCCACACTCTCCCACATGGCCTCCTTGATCGCTATGCCCACGCCGTGTACGCCCCTCTTGTCCTTGGTGCCAGCACGGGCGCCACTCAAGATGATCACGTACCCGTCGTGTGCAATTGAACCTTGCCCTTCGTCGTTTCCACATCACAGCCGGTCGCGGAACAAATCTGCATGACCGTCATCACGTTGTGACCGATGAGGTTCCTACCGCTGTAGGCGAGCGTGCGTACGTTGAACGTGCCGAACGATAGGTCGCCCTCTGCTGCCTTCTGCTTCGCCCCCGCCTTGACGGCCGCTGCGGTCTCGTGTCAATCTCGGTCCACCTGGCGTTGCGGGTGTGCTTTCTTCCGTATTTTCCGAGCGGCGACTTTCCTCGCATCAATCCATCTCTGCAGAGCTCGGTTCTT